ATTGGATGTGCATGTGAGGATGTATTGTGCATGTATGATTGGGTGTGCATGTGAGAGGATGCGTTTTGCATGTGTGATTGGATGTGCATGTGAGAAGATGTATTTTGCATATGTGATTTGATGTGTATGTGAGGATGTATTTTGCATGTGTGATTGGGTGTGCATGTGAGACGATGCGTTTTACATGTGATTGGGTGTGCATGTGAGAGGATGCGTTTTGCATGTGTGATTGGGTGTGCATGTGGTTAGGTGTGCATGTAAGAGGATGCGTTTTGCATGTTAGTGTGAGGGGCAGTATTTTACATATGACAGGACCTTCTTTGTATGTGTGATTGGGTGTATGTGTGAGAGGATGCGTTTTGCCTGTGTGTTTGGTTGTACATATGACAGGACCATCTTTGTATGTGTGATTGGGTGTATGTGTGAGAGGATGCGTTTTGCCTGTGTGGTTTGGTGTAAATGTTTTTGTGTGAGAGGATGTGCCTCCTTGCCCGTCTGATAAACCATTTCCCACTTTTGGTCTTTTTGGCTACATCCTTTTGCCTCATTTTTGGACACACTCTTTCGATCAAGTATGTTTTGGCATACCCTTTGGCTGACATGTTGTAGTTTATTTGTCTTCTAATCAGAGGACTTCTTTCTTTTTGGCCCAGATTCAGATACTTTCTTTAGACACACGCCATTCTATTTCTTGATTACATCTAAATAAATATAGATGAATGGTATACACACGAGTCTGTTTTTCTTCCTTCCTTGGATCTAATAACGACAAGATGACAGCAACACAGCAGGTGAGGCGGCTGAACCGAGTCTGGCCTTTTGATATCTTTAAGTTGTTATACAGAGAGAACTAATGAACAAATGAAGATATTCAAGGGTCATTTATCCAATCCCACTGTGTTGCTGGCTTCTAGCCCAGTGTTTTACAGGCTGATCTCAAAGTCTTAATACACACTTGGGTAGCCATAGCAACGAAGCGTATGTCGGAATACTGGATATTTTACGATCACTTCACTTACTGTAGGTTACATGCACACTTGAAGGATCGAGAGTAATCTCCCGTTGCTCTTTGTGGCACAGACGTAGTAATTAGAGTGAGTGAGTTGGGTTTAACGCCGCTTTTAACATTATTCCAGTCATATCGCGGCGTGTCAGCTTAATGTGGGAGGAAAGCCCGAAGTGATGCAGGTTTCAGACGTTTACCACTTCGGTGAAACCCACGAGCACGGGTATGGTGCTGACAAACCTAGAAACATAATTGGGTCGAACCGTGATTCGAACCCACAATCATATGTTTCTGGCGTGCCCAAGGGACGCAACTCTGCACAGCGAATCGCGGCGCCACCCGTGCCCCCTCGTAGTAATTAGAGCCTTGTGTTAATTATGGTACTCATTAACTTTTAGATAGATATAGGCTACATTCAAATTTGATCAAGTAAACAATGTGTTGAAATACTTGAACAGAACCTGCAAGGAATGCAAGTTTGACCAGATCTTGTCTCCCCTCTGAATGTTTAAATTGTTAATACACGAAAAGCACAATTCCCCCATGCACGTCCATGACTCCAAAGTCACCGAGTGAGTGAATAAGGTTTGCGTTGCTCGTGACAATAGTGAGGCAACCCTCTTTTGGTACGCGGGATTCTGGGATCTATTGAGTTTTGTTTTTGTTTTGTTTGTTGTTTAACGCCACACTCAGCAATATTGCAGCTATATCAGAAGTAGAAACTAACAGGTTTGAACCACTAGTCCTTATAATGATAACATATAGCAAAACTCTTAAAAAGGGCAAATTTCTACTAGTCCTCATGATACCTTTACTATTGGGCAGTTTGGCAAGGACTAGTGCCAATTTCTAACGCTGTATATGACGGCGGTCTATAAATAATCGAGTCTGGAACCACCCAATCCAGTGATTGATATCATGAGTATCAATCCACGCAATTGGGATACGATGACGTGCATCATCCAAGTCAGCGAGCCTGACCACCCAATCCCGTTAGTCGCCTCTTACGACAAGCATTGTCGCCATTTACGGCAAGCATGGGCTGCTGAAGACCTTTTCTACCCCAGATCTTCACGGGTCCTATTGAAGTGGTATTCGGGACTTGGCAGTGTGGTACGCTGGACGCAAATAATATCGTACTTCCTACTTAGATTCAACATTTAAAAGCAATAGTTTACTTACAAATTTCACGGTAATATTTTTCTTCAATACTTTTTTCAGTTATTTAACTTCAAATTGCACCTTTTTCTCAATGCTTTTGAGATTTGTGTTGAGTAGTATTCGGGATTCAGGGGTGAGCAATGATACTCAGAAACTATTTGATGTTGTTGAGGATTCAGGGGAAGAAGGGAATGGCACCCTCAATAGTTCCACCATATCACGACTTAATTCACACGTTTGATTCATGTTGGGAATAGAATCCGGACATTCGCATCTCAACCAAATCTTTAACCACCAATTAAGCCGGGATTTTCATTCCCAGCTCACTGGGGAGTATACAAACCGACCTGAATGTGAGGCGCAAAAAGGTCTCAGAAGTCAAGCTGCCGCACAGTCACCCATCCAACTAGTCTCCGCGACCAACGATGATTTGTGACGTGTGCACTGTGCACAGGACCATGTGACTCAATATGTCCCTTCAGGAAAACATGCAAAGAACTTTTCGACGATGCTCAGCAAAGAGATCCTGCAGTTAGGTCAATAATTATTATTCGATAATTACTAACTTCCGTCGCGTGATTGTGTGTTTAATGGAAAATAATTGTGAAAAACCAGGTGCCAAATCATGGCTGACGGACTCTTAATGAGGGGTGGTGTTACAACCTAATTACAAATGTCAGTATCGGGTGTGGCCACCAGTTGCGTTGATACCATCTTCCCGAGGCAAGAGAGTTAACTGACTATAAAAGTCCAGTTTCCTCCCTTGCCGAACTAGGCTGGTATTATGGAGTTACATTTTGGCTGGACTAACGAGTCTATGAATAGTCCAATCAAAATCGCGCAACGAAATCAGAATCCGGTTTGTAAACTGTCGTGCAGATTTCGGTCGATTACAGGATTTGCAAAGCATGTGCACCGCCAACTCGTCAACATATATTTTCCAAATCTTTTCTTGTTTTTAATCAAGGTGCTCACGTGATTTGATGCACTTCGCGATGTAAGACCCGTTTTATCACAATATAGATCTTTTTTATCGATTAGATCGTCTTGACTGGGCGCCGCCATTTGGTGTGAAGCAAATGCAAGTGATGCGAGAGATCAGAGACCATATAATAGATATTAATCTTTAATCTATTATATGGTCTCTGGAGAGATGGAATCTGATTGGTCCATATGAGAGGCTAAGAAGGGACATAACTCCTAGTAGCCACTGGTGGCGCTACGATCGAGCCAAGGAATTCCAGCCTAGTTCGGCAAGGGTGAAAACTGGACTTATAAAGTCACTTAACTCCCTTGTCTCGGGAAGATGCGTTGATACAGATGAGGCAGCGGTGGCGCATTGAAAACCGCCTGAGGGATGTTGTACCAATTGTAAACCTAAGATTGGCCCAACTGTCGTAGGCGTCGCTCTATCTCATCCTGACATGATCTGTGGGAAAGAGGATGAGAAAGACGACCGGGCATGGCAGTACATCACGTGACACGCCACACATGGGCGGACTTTACCCTGCTGCAACGTGACGTACAATGGGTAGAACATGATTTCGATCGATGTCGTTCCGGTAGGGTACGACATTCAAATTGCCATTAACAACGAGTAACCATACAGTTCCACCAAAAACTGACGTCTTTGAAGAACGTAAGCGTCGCTAAAACGTTCTGGACGTCTGTGACAATCAGAGCTGAGTTGGAAATAATAGTCCCAGAAGATATTATATCGGCACTATGGTCAAATAACGGCAAAATATGACGGACGAAGTTGTTAATTCACGAGAGATGAAGGGTAAACTGCAGTACGTGGGTCCCCCCCTTTTGTCATTTTCCGTTCAGATTTGGCCGCATGCCTTCGACAGTTTCCTTAATTTTATACGTACGCCAACACGCACAAGCGTGCCCAGATCGGTTCGGATGCATTTTAGAGGCAAAGGAGCAGGGGTGAAAAAAAGAAAGAAAAAACATATGGTCTAAAACCTTGCCCGGGGATTTTTACAATTGCAACGGAACATGTGTTCACGTACATTCAAGTTTGTCGGTTTGTTACGTGAACTGAGGTTTGACCACGTGACTTTCCATATAAGGAGCTACTCACTGGAGAATCATGTCTGACGGCGTCTACACATAACTTTTCATCAGGCAATTGTTATCTAAAGTACACCCCCACTTTTCACATATACGAGGGCATGAGATGCTGTTACATCTGTCTGTCCATGCGCGCGCGCATGAGTGAATATATATAACCCCGTTACATCAGTGAGTAGACCCGTGAAGATCAGCGTTACAATAGCTCTCAGGCAACCCATGCTTGTCCTAAGAGGCCAATAACAGGATCGGTCTTCAGGCTCGATGACTTGGTTGATGAATGTCATAGTATCCCAATTGCGTGGATCGATACTCATGACTTCAATCACTGGACTGTCTGGTCCAGACTTGATTATTTACAGACCGCCGTCATATAGCTGAAATATTGCTGAGTGCGGCGTTAAACAACAAACAAACACCAGGGAGTCCCCACCTTAGCAGCAGGACCAGTGATGACAGGATGACTACTGGAGATGCCGATGTATCTATATTCGTCAAGGATCCATTGAATTTTAAATATTGATGGAATTCTCAAAATTACCACACAGGTAAAAGTTTTGAAAATTTACCCTCACTTATTGAAATTATTTTGTTTTCCCATTTGGTAAAACTATTGAAGAATGTTAATGACACTGTTCACAAATTGGAGACCCCATCATATTTTTAAACTTCAGTCAAGATATTATATCCCAGTAATTTCATGACTTATTAACTTTGTAAAGTGCAAATATAGAAACGAAAACACTGTTGGCTTTGAAAATGCTTTATATGAATATTATGCTATCCTTTTTGAATACACAAAATCATTATTATGCATACGATAGATACCTTATACTGGTACAAGTGAGGCATGTTTAAACTAAGTTCAGATCATTGTTCACTTAGTGTTGTAATGGACATGTTCGACACAATGGTGCAGGTAAACTAGACGTGTGTAGATTCAAAATGCCGCTTTTTAATATTTGGTCAACTTTGTTACATTTATGTACTCAAGTCAGGTACATTCTAACAACAATATTCACAATTTGAAAAAATAAAAATAGAGAAGAATAGTGTCAACAAATTCATGTTTTCAAACTTTTGATGATTTCGTGGACTAAAACACATTTAGCTAACCTTGTCACATTCTTGTACACAAACAGCACATAAAAAGACAACTTCTATGTCAGCCTCAATCACTACAAATACATTCCATTTTACAGTTTAAATAAATAAAATTTACAAATCATTTTTATTTTATTTCCTATGTCAGTGCGTTATAAATGTGTGACTTCTTGATGTCAGTCATAGTGTCCACCCCTCTGATCACCTTCAAGTTGACTGTGAAGGGACTGGCAGCCCCACACCAAACATGGGGAGAAGAGACCCTCTCTCAACATCCACCTTGGCTGAAACAACCTCCCTGTCTAGATCAATGAAGCCGAATCTCCCCCTCCCCACATCCAGCACAACGCTACAGTGGAGGGTGGCCTGTGTGCCGGGCCTGGAAGACATTGTGTTTCTGTAAACAGGGTTGACTGATGGGGGTGGAGGAAGGGGGGTGGGGGTGCATGCGCCGACATATTTCTGTAAGCTGCCCCTGCCATTGTGTTGTGTGGCGGGCAGCGAGCTGACCAGCTCAACATCTATAGTGATATGGTACATGTCAGTGTTGGCTTGAGCTGCATCCAGTTGTAGATCACGACCTGGAAATATAGATTATATTTGTAGTTTTGCCATTTTCCTGATCTTACTGGGATGCGTGCAACAATGTATTCATTACTTACTTAAACTTATTATAAAAATGATAAGAAGCCGATTCTAAAATCATTTTCCTAATAGAATTACATTCACAAACATCACCAAGTTAAAAAAACCTACATTCAACAGGCAATCTAGCTTCACACTCACTTCAGTGTAGGGGAGCACCAAGATGACAGACTCAAGTCATGTCATGTTGGCTATGTAATTTTGTACGAGTCAGCAGAAGGTTATTCTTGTGAAATTGGTTGTCATTACCATTAAGCTACACCATATGTTCAATTTCAGAACACTAAAAAGATTCACAACATGAGATTGCATCGGATGACGTGAGGATGACGTTTCTAATGACTGTCGAGTTCAAGCTCCTCACAACGATAGTCCGTTTGCGGAGCTCTCTATACCAAGAGTGTAACGAAGGTGTCACGCGCTGGGAAGGAGCTTGTGTCGAGTTGGCCCAAGGGGTACTACTTTCAACACCAAGTTCAAGGTCACAAATAGACAGAGTGATGAAAGCAGTGATGTAGACCCCTGTTTTTTCATGTTATGATTACAATCCCTCAAGTGAAAACCCTGGATGCATGTGTAAATACAGTTGTACTACATCAGCACCCATACAGGTCCATACTGGTCCATACAGGTCCATACTGGGACAGGTCCATTTCAAAACAGCCATCATCAACACAATGATTGAACAGGACAGTGGGAAATAATATTGTCAACTGGCAACCAGGGTGCTTCAAAACCCGGACGACCAGACACAAGGGTCAGTGTGCTCTAACCTTTTCAATCATTTAGAATACATTAAGAACCTAAGCTCCTGTCATGCTTAAAACATTTTCTGAAATAGTACTTTAGAAACAACTATAAATGTTCAACTTTTGAACTTTATGACTCTGTAAGAGTTGTCCTTGCATGACGCATGTGTAATAGGTGTTCCCCGACCTTTACTTCAATTGGGGAATGGACAGATATACATTGTGTACCTATTATACAATGGAGTCTTGTTGTCAGTTTGTATTAACCTATGAAACTAACCATGAAGATAAGTTCATAATCTCGAAAAAAGTGGCTCAGTGGTTTAAAGGTTCCCTATCAACCCTGATTTATGTTGAGGTGTATAATGTATTTCAGAACCAAACAGAAATAAATTAAACAAAATTCTAAATATATATTAATAAATAACCGGAACTGCTTTGTTGTCTTTCCATATTCATTAAGAAGATGCAGATTACGGGAGCTAAAATTCAAAACCAAAAGGGCCTGAACACCTTTTATTCTCAACAGTATTTGCTTCTTAAACAAGCCATGATAGCATCTTAAGTATTAGTTATAAAATCGTGTTTAAATAAAGCCATTTCAAGAACTCATACCACTAATGTTACATGTCATGTTGACCTGTGAAGATCCGGGGTAGAATAGGTCTTCAGCAACCCATGCTTGCTGTAAAAAGCGACTATGCTTGTCGTAAGAGGAGACTAATGGGATCGGGTGGTCGGGCTCACTGACTTGGTTAATGCATATCATCGTACCCCGATTGTGTGGATCAATGCTCAGGATGTCAATCACTGGATTGTGTGGTTCAGACTCAATTATTTACAGACCACCGGAATATAGCTTGAATGTTGCTGAGTGCGATGTTAAACACAAAACAAACAAAAACATGTCATGAAAACGTGCATTTCTCTTTGTATTTAAGTTTCCAGTATCTGTGAGCCTTTCTTAAAACGTAAACCAAATTCCCAAATCAGGTTGAAAAGCATTATGTTATCTATCTTATTTCCATGGCAGACCTGAATGTAAGGCAACCATAGAGCCTCTTATTATAACGATAACGTTATTTTTCAGGGCATTATCATTTGCAGAAGCCCAAGGTCTTCCGTTAACTGTCTGATGAAGGAGGGCAGTTGAAAAGACCGAGGGCTTCTGCAAATGATAATGCCCTGAAAAATAGCCTTACCGTTATTATAGCTAAAATGGATTTATGATCAAATAAAATGTAACAACAATATCGGGTTTATGACATTTACTGCAATCAACACGAATGTCACTGACCCACTTTTACAAATATGGAAAAGACAGAACAAACCAGATGACATCACTATAATACGTGACGTCACCTAACCTATCCTATGACATCACCTAACAACGGGCGTGATAATGGCCCGTCGTCAAGCAATATGAGGGCATTATCAAGTTACAGTGGCCCGCTCATTTCTGATAACATGCGGGCAGTTTAATGATAATTCTATCCATTTTAGCTATAAAGACAAGCATAGCCACAATTTAAGGCAAGCATGGGTTGCTAAAAACCCATTCTACCCCAGATCTTCACAGGTCTGTATACAATGGTACATCGTGGTATGGAACTCTCATCAGGTAGAGAAATTCATGTCACAGTACAAGCTGGTTTAATGATGTCAGTCAGGTGGCCCTTTATGATTTTACACTCACGGATACTAATCTCGAGTATACTTACATACAGTGCTGTCGACGCTGTTGTCGTAGTACACTTACATACAGTGCTGTCGACGCTGTTGTCGTAGTACACTTACATACAGTGCTGTCGACGCTGTTGTCGTTTCCTATGAAGAACACTGTGAGTGAGCTTGCTGCAAGAACAAAATAGATTACACTGGTTAAGACAGGATGCAATATTTTTATACTTGCAGTTGCTTTTCATGAAATTAGGTCACCATGATGACATTGGTTATTTTTATATTTTCACACAGGTAAACACAGGACTCGATGTTTGTTTGTTTGTTGTTAAACGCCACACAGCAATATTCCAGCTATATGACAGTGTTCTGTAAATAATCGAGTCTGGACCAGACAATCCAGTGATTGACATCATTTATGCAATTGGGATATAATGGCATGCACCAACCAAGTCAATGAGCCTGACCACCCGATCCTGTTAGTCGACGTTTACTATTGGTTCCAATTTACAAATGTTTAAAGATGCAATCCCTGCTATTTCAGACAGTCCTTGATTGGCAGTGTCTGTCAGGGCGGTTGACATTGGCCCAAGATGCTGATGTCCAGACAAACCTGATACCGTATTTCCGCCGCTATTCCAGTTATATCATGGCGTGTCAGCTTAATGTGGGAGGAAAGCCCGAAGTGATGGAGGTCTCAGACGTTTACCACTTCGGTGAAACCCACGAGCACGGGTATGGTGCTGACAAACCTAGAAACATAATCGGGGCGAACGAAGTGTTGAACTAGAGTCAAAGGATCTTTATCGTAGAGAATGCAACCGCATATGTAGCCTAAGTAAGAAAGCTGAAACCTCTGCTGCGCAGTAAGGCTATCACTGTATTGGACATTCGCCAAGGAAATTCCAAATGCCAGGACTTGCCATCGGAAATGCACCCCTGTCCGCATGCACGAAAACTGAACAGTATTGGGTACGAGGAAATTTCTTCCCATAGACGATGGTTTACATACCTGTCAGCGTGAAATTGGTCTCAGAATGCAGTATAAGGTACTTAGGAACCTATGCCTACGTGTTTTGTCACCACTCGCAACTTAATATCGGCTGCAACGTGTTTCGTACCCCTCGTGCAACGATGACCACGCTTCGGGCGGAGAGACACAATTGATTATCTCCCTTGTGAAGCGTCACAAAAATAACCACCTAGATCAACTTCCAAACTGTAGTCCGCTTTTGCGGTACTGGTACCTGGGACGTCAGCTTGGCCCGTATGAGCAGGGTCTGGAACGTGGTTCTTCAGATCTTAACGTATGTTTTAACCACAACGCTACCCCAACGCCCTCATGTTAGAAAAGGGGGCGTTCGGGTAGCCTAGTGGTTAAAGCGTTCGCTCGTCACGCTGAAGACCCGGGTTCGATTCCTGACATGGGTACAATGTGTGAAGCCCATTTCTGGTGTTCCCCGTGCGATATTGCTTCAATTTTGCTAAAAGCGGCGTAAAACCGTACTCATTCATATGTCAAATATAATGCTTAAATAAATAGTATTTACTGTTACAGAAAAGTGATTTATTGGAAGTGTAGTTCACAGCAGTAGATCAACTTCATAAAGGTTGATTAGCTTTTATCTTGTGGGTATGTGAGGGGAATTGATGGACCAACCCCTTTTACAGATTCGCGACCGATGAACGAAGGGAGACCACTCTTGTCAGAGTAATAACCCGAGTTTATTTGCGAGGAGTTTCCAAGAAGAATAGCACAGCTTGTCTTTCCGCAGCAAGTAGTGCAGCTACCGGTAACCTTAAACGTACATGACGAGCTACACACCAGCAGATTGTTCCCAGTTTACTATATGCTCCAGTGGCCAGAATGTGCTCGGATCTGAGCAGAGATTGTGTGGAGTTTCAAGTTACAAAATGACATTACATTAACATGCTCAGTGCTGGACCTTATGCAGAGGGGCCTTGGGGTGGCTTGTCTTTGAGACATATAACGGAGATCATATTACCAAGCAAAAAATACTGTTTAACAAAGTAAGTTCAGATGAACATATGGTCATTGCCAGCAATTAAATACGTTCACCAGCAGCCAGTTCATGCAAAACAAACTTAACCTGCACTTCTTTATATTACCGACGGAAACCATGACAACGGCCGCAACGCCAGGATTTCGTTCCTTTTGTTTTGTCGTTTACTTTTGCGCTAACAGTTTCTTCAAGTGTTCATCGCGTTTCATTCCTAAATGTCGCCACAAATGCCCTGTCCAGAAATCTTTTTTTAGCATCGTGCAAATATCCGTCAGCTTTAACCGGGAATGCAAGTGTACAGACTGCAGCTTCTGTTTCTGAGGTTATCATGTGTGGAACAGCGAAACGGGAATCTGAAAAATTAGATATTTTAGACTGAACATTGATGCTTTACATTTGTTATCGATCCTAACTTTAACACGGCTTTAGAGAGTGAATAGTATGTTTTCGACAGCTAACAGGCACGACTTGGTGGTGAAGTACCATATATCCGGCGTTTGAATATATAGGCAACGCTTTAAAAACTAGAAATTGCCATGTGTTTGGCCCTATAACATGCAGCTCCCGGTGGCTGTTTGACGTTGCCGGAAATGGACGATGACGCCTCGTTCTGACTTTGTCTCCATAACATAGTAACCGTTGTCGTTGCCAACGCCCCCCTCTGTTTTTAACAGATTCACTATCGCTCTTGCTCGCTATCGCTCTGCATTTCGTTGACTACAACATCGTTTCGAGGACTTCTACTAACAAGATGTTTACTAGGCTGCATATTCAAGGTATTTAAGAAGACAGTTATTGTATTTTAAAGTGTTTAGCATGTAGATTAGTGCTGAAAATGACCGTATTTTGACAGCAGTATCGGTGGGGATGACAATGGCCGCCATTTGCAATTTGTAGAAATTCAGCATTGGGTATCATTTTAATTTCTTTTTCCGCCTGTGAAGTGAGAGATGTCGGCATATATAAATATAAACAACGGACGATGTTGTTAAATAACTATAGAGTTTTTGTATATGAGACGTAGATTTTGTATTTATTTATTTGTAAACCTCTCTTTCAAACATATGGGATACAGTGGCACCACTAAAAGATGCATTGTATATCAACACAAGTATTTCAATGTCCATTTTAATTCGTCTAACGCATTCTCGTGGCCTATACTAGTCCCCATGGTCAAATATCGGCTATCGAAGTACGGATATACTCTCGCTATCTTTTTGACGGTTTCTGTTTCATTGTGCATTTATGTTTTGTGTATTTAAATGTGTTGTTTTGGTTATTTTCAGCACGGGAAGATATGATCCGGTATCATGTCACTCCTGCTGCGAGTTTATGGCCGTCGTTGGATGAGGAATCCGACTGTGTATGTATTTTATCGACATCTGTTGCAGCTTGGGCGGAATAGCTTGATGTTGTCGTCCATGTGTCCATGTCCCCTTAAGCATACCAATGACAATTTATTTTATTTCACTGTCTGTTATGGTGTCCTGAACATCAGCCCCATGGCAACCATCTCCCCTTTACACATTAACATTTCTCTCTGTCAGTCTGGCAGCGTGTTTGTCGTGTGACACCGTCTCCTGTCATATGTAATCTGTGGCTATGCACACTGACTTCCTTTTGCATTTATTCTTTAAATACCTCCTACAAACCTCTCCCAATGACCCTCCTTTCTCCCTCCCTCCCCACTCGCCGATGTAGCGTCCCAAGGCTGCGTCCCCGACCCCCTCTCCCGACCCTCTGAGTGTTTTCACCCCGTTCTGGGCCCGCCCTGACAACGGCGAGACGCTCCCTGCCCCAGTCACCATCACCTACGTCGATTCCTATCCTGCCCCTAGTGACGACGACAGTGACTACTGGGTCTATGAGGACGAGGACGACGACAGCTTCGTGGAGGACAGAGAGGTTCATCCTCTGAGGAAGGCGCTGAGGAGAGTGGCTGCCTTCTGGAGGAGAATCTTCTCGTAGATTTCTCATCCAGTGCGTGTGTGTGCGTGTGTGTGTGCGTGCGTATGTGTGTGCGTGTGTAAATGTGTATTTGTTGGAGGGTACGTTTTGCATGTGTGATTAGATATAATGTGAGAGGATGTGTTTTGCATGTGCTATTCAGTGTAACTGTGTTTGTGTGAGGGTATGTGTTTTGCATGTGTGTTTGGATGGAAGTGTGAGAGGATATATTCTGCATGTGCGATTGGGTGTTAGTATTTTGGTGTGAGGGTGTGTTTTGCATGTGTGATCGGGTATGCATGTGAGGGGATGTATTTTGCATGTGGGATTAAGTGTAAGGGTGTATGTGTGATATAGATGTGCTCTGTATGAATAAATGTATGTTTGGATAAGTGTTTTTGTGTGAGAGGATGTGTTTTAGTGACCGTCTTTTAGAACATTCCTCCCTTTGGTCTTTTTTGGCTACCCCCTTTTGGGAATTTTTGGACACACTCTTTCGATCTAGTTATCAACGTTTTGGCATACCCTTTGGCTGACATTTCTAAGTTTAATTCTCTTCTACACAGAGGATTGTTTTTGTTCTTCTTTTGGACCCGATTCAGATACTTACTTTTGGCACACGCCATTCTATTTCTAGATTACACCTAAATAAATATTGATGAATGGTATACACACGAGTCTGTTTTCCTTCCTTCCTTGGATCTAATAACGACAAGATGACAGCAACACAGCAGGAGAGGCGGCTGAACCGAGTCTGGTCTTAAGATATCTTGAAGTTGTTATACAGAGTAAACTAATTAACAAATGAAGATATTCAGGGGACATTTGCCCTATCCCGCCGTGTTGCTGTCTGCTTCGAAGCTGGCCCCAGGTATGCGTGAATGATCGAGAGTGATCTCCCTTCGCTCTTTCAGATTTATAATTTTATATACTGAAGATGAGCGCTAGACGAAGAGCATAGTCCCACGACTGTGCTCCTCGTCCAGCGCTCATCTTCAGCCCATTCTAGACCTAGTATGCAACTTGGAAAATTACGGTACTCATTAAATTTCAGACAGATATACAGAATAGAAATTAAACAAGCAAACAAAGTGATGTTTGAAAAACTTGAACCAAACCTACAAGGACTGCCAATTTGACCAGGTGTTGTCTCCCCTTGAATGTTTAGACACAAAACGCACAATGCCCCGAAGCATATGCAGTCCACGACTCCAAAGTCACAAAGTGAGTAGACCCGTCAAGAACCGGGTTAGAATAGGTCTTCAGCAAACCATACTTGCTGTAAAAGGCGGCTATGCTTGTCGTAAGAGGCGACTAACGGGATCGGTAGGTCAGGTTCGCTGACCTGGTAGATGCATGTCATCGTATCCCTACTGCGAAGATCGATACTCATGATGTCAAACACTGGATTGTCTGGTCCAGACTCGATGATTTATAGACCGCCGCCACATAGCTGGAATATTGCTGAGTGCGGCGTTAAACAACAAACAACAACTAAGTGAGTGAGTGAGTGTGGTTCTGCGCTTCTCTTAGAAATAGTCCGACCATATCTCGGCGCGGGACACGAAGAATATGTTTTAACACGATTTATTCATGTAGGGAATTAAACCTGGTTCTTCGCTTCTCAACTGATGCTGTAACCACCAAGCTACCCCACCGCCCACACATGTCAAATATACGATGCCTAAATAAGTAGTATTTACTGTTACAGAAGAGTGATTTATTGGAAGTGTAGTTTATAGCAGTAGTTCAGCTTCGTACAGGTGTGACTCGTGAAGATTCCGGGGTAGAATATGTCTTCAGCAACCCATGCTTGTAAAAGGCGACTATGTTTGTCGTAAAAGGCGACTAATGGGATCGGGTGGTCAGGCTCGCTGACTTGGTTAATGCATGTCATCGTATCCCAATTGATCGTTGCTGATGATGTCAATCACTGGACCGCTGGTCCAGACTCGATTATTTACAGCCCGCTGTCATATAGCTGGAATAGTGCTTAGTGCGGCGTTAAACAACAAACAAACAAACACACATCATACAGGTGTACACATACACGAGAGTGTCATTCATTTCAGCGTCCATTTCTGCCGCCACACTGACAAGACACACATTGGCATTCTGGTATATTATCTAGTATATTCAGCGTGTGCAGAAGGAGCACGTTACTTCCATGTGGATCTGGGAGATCAACAGCGTGAAGCTGTATATTGGGCGGAACAACCTAACATACATGCATTAATATCATAAATACGAGTATTTTTCACCGTTTTCTAAGTCGTTCAGGACTTCCTCAAACTGACTCTATCGTCATGTCCATGTTTTTCAAACATTTATTTTAAGTAATCTGACTTCTAACTTCACTAGCTGATAAGGAAATCTGTCTGATCACAACAAACACGAACTCTTCGAAAACTGTAACACGACGAATACAGCGTTTGTCCTCTCTCAAGGACATTGGCAGTATTTATGAGCAGCAAATAGTTAATAAAGCAAATAAAATATCAAGCGATATCTCGCATGTTCTACATTCGTCGTCTTCCTTCTGGGACTTCTGCGAGCCGACTACGAGTGGCGATGTTGAGGACAAACAGTGCCCGAAATTCATTCATACGAGCTCGTGCCACGTTTTGTGATGAATAGTTGTTGATCATTCATTCTCTTGTGTCACATTTAATGATAATTACGTTTGTGGTTGTTTTTTATCTGTTTGTATGTGTGTTTATCAGAGGTGAGACCTGGTGCTGATGCAATCCAAATTTCCTTCGGGATAATAAAACGTTTTCTCATGTTATCTTTTATGTTATAATTGAGAATTCCACCCTGTTTTCATTGGCCGATAAATAATCACATGACAGTCTATAGAAATGCATATTGACTCCATCCCAGGTACGATAATTGACGATATTGACTTGACTAAAAAAAGCAGAAAAAAAACCAGGTCTAGGGTATCCCTCGATTTTCAGCCAATCAGGTTTCTCCTTTCGCGTCCTCGGTCAATATTGTTTTTCTCGGGTCCATAAAAACAGGTACGCTATGCACAGTCACTGCTACCACAATGAACAATAACGGATCTAGAATTGTGGTTATATTCAACCGACAAAACCCATTCAAGGGTCCTAAGAAATATCTGCTTACAACAGCATCCATTGTTCGATTCCGACTATATTATAAGCAGCGTTTATGTATCACTATCAAATAGTGATGATACCAGGTGTTCGCAAAAAGATGAACTTCTGCTGCTCCACCGATACCATCCGTCACAAACACATGCAAAGGCTGGTCAACTGTACACTAGGAAAAAACACTGGGACAAATATTACAAACCAAAATAGGGACTGTTTTGGACACAAATGTCACTGATACGTGAAATTTGGATATGTACTCCACATGTCTACCATGAAACCTTTTCTAAGGTCTTAAATATTGTAACCCAGATCAAAGAACTTTTGAGCAAGAGTCGTGTGACGCTCTTTGAGATCTACAAGTCCCGGTTCGATTCCCCGGTACAAGTTGTGAAGCCCAATCTAGGCTAGGCGTCCTCTACTGTCGGTAATTCTGACTGTCCTAACACCAGACTCCAAAACAATAATATAGCAAAAGTCTTTATTGAAAATGTACAAACAGTAACAAAATGAAACAACATTAAATATGTTATCAACAACTTTACCACCAGGGACACTGTATGGAAGGACGACTCGAAACAGTGTCATCATCCCACAGTGTCAAGTGAAACAATAGCCTAGGGCGAATATTTTCTTTTTCAAGACTCGAAATTCAACGGGGCAAACGAAATCTTTTTTCGAAATACAATGGATTCAATTGATGAAACATGCATTTGTGTGGACCAGTCCACACCTTTTCGATAATCTCTTTATTACGAATATCAAAAAATGTATCCTCGACACACAGGGGTATTTTCCCACATTACTCGACACACCTCCCTGGGCTGCTGCTATCGCTGTTGTAAGGAATAGGAGCCACTTAAACGCTTCTATAATGAATGTTCCATTGATGACATGGAGTTTAACCACTATTTTACCTCTTGCGCTCAATGGAATCTGTTTTCGCAGATAATCGAGACTGATTATTCTCTAGCGTTGAAGTTTTATATACTACTCAAAAGAAGCTAAAAAAAACCGATTTTTTCATGACTAGAGTTTATCTGTCATGGCTGGTGGATATTGAAACGCACAGCCTTCCAATTGTGGGTGTTCTTTAACTTGTTTTGAGAAATGTATTCCTGAGGAGGTACCTGATTTCTCATGATAGTTTCCTGTTAACCTTATCAAAATATGAGGAGGCAACACAACTTCAGTAGGAACAAACTTTAAGATAAAATAAAACATGAAATCAGGCCATAGATTACGCCATGGATCATTTGTACCTGGGAAAATACCGTAACATGTTATTCTGTGGGTCATTATTCAAGTTTGATGCACAATAATCCAGTCGGATAGAAACTGTAGGAGTTCTGACACTAGTCGACGTCATATCTCATCGCTGCAGAAAATTAATGATTCCAATGATTAATGATTCCAAATGAAAATTATTTTTAAGAATTAATAGGTAAACAACCCAACATTGCCTTATTTCGAAATTATGATGACTGGTATATTGGTTATTTTGTTTCGGTATTTCATCGAAATATGCCAGTAAAATTATAAGGTCACAACTTTAACCATCACAGAATGTGTTCGTGACAATGACCGAAAATTGGTCAACTCGAGTGTCAGTACTGAAGATGGGGCCACCCTTGCCACATCAAGCCCACTTTCCTGTGCTAAATATGATTGGACTATCGCACATATCGGTAGTCCGGTTAGAGGTCAGAGAACGTTTGACAAAATTAACATCCACGACTGGTACACCTTCGTATGAAAGTGATTTACCGCTACCTGTCTTTGTTGACACGAATTTTTTAACCCCCCCCCCCTCAACGATTGCCTATGTTTTTGTGCTAGAAACGAAATCGCGAATGTTTTCGTTATCTGAGCGACAAGGTCGTCGCCGATGGTAGTCGCCATCTTTGTGAAGCTCTACGAGATAAGAGGCGATCTGATTGGATATCGCTTTTTCATTACAAGGGACATAACTCGTGATCTACGCGAGGTGACCCCAGGGTCGTGCCATGAAGAGTGGCCTTGATGTGGCAAGGGTAGAAAATAGGCTTTGATATAAGCTAGTGGACACGCTTGCCTCGGGAAGATGTCCTTTTTGGTGAGAGTGTGTGAAAGATATCACCCTGTGGGAAGGCGTACTTGTGATGACATCTTCTTTTATATAGAGGATTGTCTCATAGCAATGGGCAACACTTTTATATTAAAGTCGTCATTTGGTAAGGACTATAAAAGTGGTAAGGATTACATTAAAATGTAGCGAGGACTGCATTAAAGCTGATTCCCTATGGGACAAAAAAGAGATACTGTCGTCCAGGAAGGATTAAACCTGACATGTGAGTAAGACTGGCGTACCATTGCAATTTGATGCAGAAAAAAATCAGCTGCCCTGTCGACAAGCTATAGTTATAATAAACCCTCTGTCGATGGACGTTGGAAAAGTTGAAGCCCTTTGGGCAAATCTGTAGTATATGTTTCGTCTACGTTGGACTAGTATTGTTGGCATTGCCATCCATGTAGGAAGCCGGCAGAGAAGCTGGTGTCCTGGGTGGAAATCTGTAATATTGTTTCCGCCCTGTCTGTGCAGGATTGCAGTATCAACCTCTGTGGGCAAGGCTGTAGTATTCTTGCCACCTATGTACAAGGACTTCGTGAAGCTGTCAGGCAAGACTGTAGTATAGCTGTAGTCCATTAATACTTTACACACGTATTTACACACACACGTCCTAGTTGAGCTTGTAGCTTGATGACGCGCGCGTCACACAGGAGTCTGCTCAGCCACAAGTGGCCAAACCTATCTCAGTCTTATTAACACATGCTATACGTTACATGCTCGAATATGTCCCAAGTACTGCATACGAGTCACTCCTTAAGCAGATCCTATAAGTACTTGGACAGTAAACACAGTTCGTTCACGTAACACTCTGAACATGCCGCCTTGAAGAAGCATGTTAACCCTTGTTTCAACGACTTTGTACTTGACTCTTGTTCTGGCTGTCTTTTGAAACGTTCTGTATTCGCTGCTTTTAGGCTATCATCTGTCTTCTCTTGCACTATGTTCCCACACCAGATTCTCTCCAGGAAGGGGCAATGGTGTGGTTTAGTGATTCAAGCATTGCTCGTCACGTCAATGGCCCGAGTTGGATTCCCTCCGTGTGAAACCAATAGGTTTATGTCTTCGCCGTAATATTGCTTGAGTATTGCGGAAAGCGGCGTAAAACCATACTCACTCACTTTCTCCGAAATATGGGGTTCCGAGAGCAAGTGTTAAGGTGTCGAGCTCCAATCCCATAGTCTGAAAGCCGTCGCATATCTCCACAACAACGCCCGTGCCCTTTGGTTACAAGTGACACATATTGCCAAGCATCGAAAGTTGCCATCTATCAGGGTGTAAAGTGTGATGGGTATCTGAACCACCCACCATCGCCACATTGTCACAATACTTAACACAGCCCGTGGGTCATAGGTAGAAGTCGGGGGGCTGGTGGTGGTTGTTGAGGGTGCTACTCACCACCCCCCTCGTATTGTTCTCATACAAGTGTTCGTTCTTGAAGCTGTCGTAGGACAGGTTCTGGTTGTAGTCGGGTACCAAGTGGGGTGGGAGGTTGGACGGCGGGTGATACACAAAGCTGCCTGCTATAATAGATGGCTCGTAATGGCTGTCCTCGCCCAGTGTGCACAGGGCGTTGTCACTTGAGTTGTCATGGTAACCGTGCATGCGCATTGCACGTGGAGTTGAGTGGGCGGCTGGGTAGTACACCTGATATAAAATTAAAAATGTTTGAACATTTTAAAATATTTAAGCATTCAAAGAGTTATTACAGTGTGATAGTAAAAATGGGAGTATATAAGGGTGATCCTTGTATAAGTGAGGAACATGTGTAAGCTAAATAATTATTCAAACAATAGAACAATAACGTTTTATTAGCTTGACCATGTCCAGCGTGTTTAGAAAACAGTTCCTGTCATATTATTACTGGAAATATCATGATGATGCAAAATAGAATATGTTGTTAACTTGTTGCAAGCTATTATTGGAATTAATTGGGTTTGTCAGGGAAGCACTTGTTGTTAGATATGCTTTACTATTACATACATACATACATACATACATACATACATACATACATACATACATACATACAGACATACATACATACATACATACCCCCCCCCCCCCCAACACACACACATACGTACATACACACACATACATACAAACATACATACATACATACATACCCCCCCCCCCCCCAACACACACACATACGTACATACACACACATACATACATACACACACGCACACATACATACATACGCACGCACGCACACACATATATGACAGACAGAAACACATACATACATACATACACACATACGCACGCACGCACGCACACACACACATGACAGCCAGACAGATAGACATGCATGCATGCACGCACGCACACACACGACAGACAGACAGACAGACAGACATACATACACGCACGCCCGCACGCACGCACACATGACAGACAGACAGACATACAGACATGCAGACATGTTTTGGTTGAAACAATCCCGATGTAATGTAATAATGAACTAATGATTATTAACAATTTGTAATATCTCCGTCACCTGGGGCAAACTGACTGATTTCTGTTATGCTCTGTTGGAATTGAAAAGCCTGTTCTTAGTCATCGTTATGTTGACAATTCGCTAGGAGAGTTGACTGTATCTTGTATATTGTGTCAGATTGTTGACTACAGTGTATTTGTCCGATCCCGTTAGTCCCCTTTTACGACAAGCATAGTCGCCTTTTACTGCAAGCGACCGCCTCCGTGGTCTAGTGGTAGAGCGTCCGCCCACAGAGCGGAAGGTCCGGGGTTCGATCCCCGGCCGCGTCATACCAAAAGACGTTAAAAGATGGTACTTGTTGTTACCCTGTCTGGCGCTCGGCATTAAGGGGCTTAAACAAGGACTGGTCGGCTCGGAGTCAGTATACTGTGTCTGAGTGGGGTATTCATGTTAAACTCCGGCATGGTATCTCAGTGAGCTAGCACTATAAATCGGCATCAGTCCGGACTAGTACAAGCAGCCACACAAACACACACACGTAAATGCACGTCGCTATATAAGTGCAATAATCTTGGACGCGACTTTAAACCCCATTTCACCTCTCCTCACCTTTTATTGCAAGCATGGGTTGCTGAAGACCAATTTTAACCCGGATCTTCACGGGTCTAAACTTGCACTCAGCAATATTTCAGCTTTTTTCCCATAGTACAACTCGTCTTGCAGGGAATCGTTAGCTAGGGTAGTGTTGGAGACTCGACATGTAATTCTCAGAAATACCCCGATTTCCTCAATTTTCGTCTGAGACGGTGTGGTAGCCTAGTGGTTAAAGCGTTCGCTCGTTAGGCCGAAGGTCGGTTTCGATTCCCCACAGGGTACAATGTGTGAAGCACTGACCTGTCCCTGTCGTGATATTGCTGGTATATTGCACAGCGGCGTAAAAATATACTCATTCTCTCAACTTACGTCTGTGGCGTAGTTGTCGTAGGCCCTGTAGACTTTGTCTCTCACGGAGATGTCGTAGGCAAGGACGGGCTCCCCGAACCAGGGGACGAGCCGCGTCTTCTTGATGGGGCGGTGGTGTGGGTGCCTGAACCTCTGTCTGTGGAAGAAACATACGTTAGGCTCAACACCTTAGATAATAACAGCATGTCAACCATTTTAAATAGATTTTAAAATAAGACCAAACATACAAACCATTTTTTTCTGCCTCCGTCACTCAATTTTAATTTTAATTTAATTAATTTGTAGTTTCATAAAATCATTCAGCGAGAGTTTGGTACATAGTATACTGGTAGTGTTGGATTTCAACTAGTGTCATTCGAATTACCGGATGTTTATATTATTGATTGTTTGATTGTTTGTTGTTTAACGCCGGACTCAGCAATATTCCAGCTATATGACGGCGGTCTGTAAATAATCGAGTCTGGACCAGACAATCCAGTGATTGACATCATGAGTATCGATTCACGGAATTGGGATACGATGACATGCATCAACAAGTCAGCGAGCCTGACGACCCGATCCTGTTACTCGCCTCTTACGACAAGCATAGTCGCCTTTTACGGCAAGCATGGGTTGCTGAAGACCTATTCTACACGGATCTTCACGTGTCTTATATTAATGAAAAAGGATTTGCCTTGGAGCTTCAAGTAAGGCCAGCTGGTGAACTGTTATAGACTTTAAAATATGAATTACATTTTTATCGGGGCACAGTTGTCTTAAAAGTGTGGAAGGAGGTGGGATTTTATGTATATTTTTTATAAAAAACAAAAGTGGTGAGGGAGGAATATATATAAAAAAATCATCAAGAATATCAACAAACAGCTGAGCATACAAAAGGAAAACGTGTGTGGTTATTTTATGGATAACATATTCTACTTCATATAACGCGGGAAATTCGAAAAATAAGTTTTTATTGGCAATAAAGATAACTGGAAATAAACACTGATGAGACGATAAGTGTAGTTGTCAGAAAGACAGGTCACGTGACGCGTTATGAAAACTGGACTTTTGGTGGACTACCCAATGAAAGTGAGAATACATTTTGTTACTTGTTTTTTGTTTATAATTATGATACAAAGCTAACATTTTGCACAGCAAGGAATAAAAGCATTATCTCCCTTATATCGAGCAATTAGATCTCTCTATTTAAATCCTGATACGTGGTTAGGACTTTTTGGTTATGCTTCACAGATGTGACGCAAGTTGAAAAGAATACATTGGTTAATTACTCAGAGTGATGGACTATATTTTTTTAATTTTTAGGCGTATTCCTACGCAAGCAAGTCAAAATTATATGGGTTATGGCGTATTTTAAATAATCAGCCTATCTGGAGTTCTGTATAAATATATTTTAGTTACTAAGAACTGAATTTTGGAAGTTTACGATCAACATTTGTCAGGTGATGTTGAATTCACCTTGTCATACAACTGGTAATAGTTTGTTTGTTGTTTAACGCCGCGCTCGGCAATATTTTAGCAATATGACGGCGGTCTGTAAATGATCGAGTCTGGACAAGACAATCCAATGATTGCTATCATTAGCATCCATCCACGTAATTGGGATACGATGACATGTATCAACCAAGTCTTCACGGGTCAAGTCAAAACCTAAATATACTAGTATTAAGCCATTTTATCAGTGGAAACCATCGGCGGTCTGTAAACAATCGAGTCTGGAGCAGACAATCCAGTAATTGATATCGTGAGCATCGATCCACGCAATTGGGATCGATGACATGCATCAACCTTGTCAGCGAGCCTGACATGTGAGCTTTTAAAGTGAGAAGTGAGTATTCCAATAAAAACTGTAAAATAAAACGCTGTTCTTTTTCACAGATAACTTAAACAAGTGTATAGTATATCCAGTATTAGAAGAAGTTAGATATACATACTTTCCTTGTCACTCTCTTACTAAGTCTGTATCTACAATATTTAATAATTCAACATCATACAACATTGTACAATGTAATTCTCCATGCATGCTACACAACAGAGGTTAAAGAACACCGTGACAGCTCAACTATGGTAATATACAGGAATCGGGAGTTTTCTTACTTCTTTTGACTCGAATATAGCCGTCAAATCAATAAATCTCACGAGCAAGGGGGGCACGGGTGGTCCAGTCGTCCAAGGCGCCGCGATTCGCTGTGCAGAGTTGCGTCCCTTGGGCATGCCAGCAACCTATGATTGTGGGTTCGAATCCCGGTTCGCCCCGATTATGTTTCTTGGTTAGTCAGCACCATACCCCTGCTCGTGGGTTTCACCGAAGTGGTAAACGTCTGAGACCTACATCACTTTGGGCTTTCCTCCCACATTAAGCCGATTCGCCGTGATATAACTGGAATACTGTTAAAAGCGGCGTTAAAACCTACTCACTCACTCATGAGAAAGATAAGTTCTGTGGGAAGCTGAAGGTAATGGCCCTGAGTGACGTTGATGGTGACGTCACTTCATACCCGAAGCTTTGTGGCATTTGGTTCCAGGGTATTTATCTAATTATTTTTGAGTAGAATAGTTTTTGGTCCACTGTCTGTGATGGAATGTTGTAGATGCGGTGAGAATCATCCTTTACTTAGCTAAACAGTTTTGCACACAACCGTGCCGGTGGGGTTTTACCAAAATAGGAAACGTCTAAGACCTGGTGACTTTTCCCTCCAAGTCAAGCTGACACACCGCGATATAACTGGAATACTGCTCAAAACGGCGTTAAACCAAACACACACACAACGTGTATCGTGTATGGTTTTACGCCGCTTTTAGCAACATTCCAGCAATAGCACGGCGGGGGCCACCAGAAATGGGCTTCACACATTGTACCCATGTCGGGAATCGAACCCGGGTCTTCGGCGTGACGAGCGAACGCTTTAACCACTAGGCTTCCCGACCGCCCCCCAAACACACACAGGCCAAGCTGGTCGACCAGAACGTCACTGAGACTCCCAATCATTCGTTTGTATAATGTTGCACCGCATATTTTTTGAAAACTTATCCTCGTGTCGATTGAAATCAACGTTCTGAATGATCTGAATTTACTCTGAAGGTTGTGTTCAGCAAACAACCCCAAGCATGAGTGAGTGAGTATATTATTTGAAGCCGCAGCAACATTCCAGTTACATAGTCTTGACCAAATAAAATAACATTGAAAACGTCAATCATTAAATGGCATTAACTACTGAGGTTTCGTGAAAACCCAGCTTCCCGATGCAAGGGAGTGAGCTGACTGTAAAAGTCAAGTTTCCACTCTTGACGAACCAGGCTTGATCGTAGCGCCACCAGCGGCTATTATGAGTTATAACCCTTTCTAGGTCCCTCCTATTGACTAATCATATTCCACCTCTCATATCATTTGCATTTTCTTCAAACCAAATGGCGCGCCAAGTCAAGACGATCTGATCGATAATTAAAATCTATTTTGTAACAAAAAAGGTCTTACTTCGCGAAGTGCATCCAATCATTTGAATCATTTGATTAAAATCATGAAAAGATTTTGAAAATGTCTGTTGACGCCGAGTTTGCGGTACACGTCCTTTGTACATCCTGCAATCGACAAAAATCTGCACGGCATTCTACGAACCGGATGTCGATTTCGTTACGCGATTTTGATTGGACAATGCACAGACTCGTTAGTCCAGCCAAAATATAACTCCATAATTCCAGCCTAGTCGGCAAGGGTGGAAACTGGAATTTTATAGTGAGTGAACTACCTTCCCTCGGGTAGATGTGAAAACGAGACTCACCTCCTTTTGATCTGCCACTTCCGGACGGCGGCGATGATGATGAAGACGATGGCGATGAGGGAGAGGGTGCCGAGGGTGCCGCCGATCACGATCTCTGTTGGGAAGGGGCTGTGAGGCTGTGGAGGAAAAGAGATGATGTCAGGGAGGAAAAGGTCAGTCAGGGTCAGACCTCAGTCAGCTTGTTGGATAAATCACCCTGTAAAAAAATTTAATCACTTTTAATCACTTGAAGGGTTATCAACCAATTCCATATGCCTGAGTGCGGCGTTAAACAACAAACAAACAAACAAACATTATTGGCTTGCCATTGCAATATACAGGCTCTACATTATATAAAAGTTTGCAGTTGAGAAACATTGACATGATTGACTTGATTTCAGTAAAACATCAGATTTTGTAATGAGATTGCGAAAGAACAATTATGTAGGTTTGTGGTCTTAAAAATGTCATATCGGAATATTAGGCATTTCAACCACGATAGACCGCATCGCGAACAAAGTGCCCCGATTTACACAACGTTACAACCATCGTGATCTCAGCCCTTAAATGTGTGGACATCATTTCTTATCTCCAAGGCAACTTCATACACCTAGTAACTCTTGTTAGAAAAGTCATCTCCTGTGACGATCCAGGGTTGAATTGGTCTTCAGCAACCCATCCTTGTCGAAATAGGCGACTGACGGAATCGGATGGTAAAACCCGCTGAGTTGGTTTATGCATGTCATCGTATCCCAGCTGCGTGGATCGAATCCCACGATGTCAATCCCTGGATTGTCTACTCCAGTTACTAGTCCAGTCCAGACTAGAATAGTCACAGACCGCCGTCATAAAGCTTGAATATTGCTGAGTGCGGTGTTAAACAACAAACAAACACACAGACAGGAAAGTCGTATAGGACATTTCACATTCTGAAAGAACAAAACATTACACTAATAGTCCCACTTGTTTGGTCAGACATCGGTATGCTATGTAAATAGAAAAGGTCAACACCAGAGAATAACCAGTCTCGATTTTCTGTCCAAGTGTCCTTTCCACACGACATGTACAGATCCGATCAACAAGTTATACGATGTCTCGGCCAGATATGATCCCACTCCCAGTGTGCGCTCTCCAGATCAGCGATTGGAGAACAGACGATCCAACTTGATGAAGTTATCAAATCCCATGTCAGATGCGACCTATGTTAAGTATTCACCAGATACACATGAAGGTCTGTCTTCAGTCTCATATCCGGCCATTGCTGAGGAGGTGTCCGAGCGCTGATGTTCTGTCGTCTGCTCATCACAAAACCAGTTGCAAAAGCAGACGAGATTTAGCGGGTCGAGTCGCAAAGTCTTTTTCATTAACACCGACTGCGTGGCATCTGAGCCAGCGGTTACGCCCGCTTGTGCAACCTTTGCTTGGACGGGCGGACATGCCGAAGCTGACAAACACGACTCCTAAACAACTCGAGCTGTGAGCAAGCTGCACGGAATTACTGAAAGACGATTTAATGCCGTGCACATAACACATCATCCAGGTGCTATGTTAGACCGCTTCCTGAGAACGGGGCCTCATTTGTCTCAGCCCGGGTGCACGAAGTCGACATGACTAGGAGGAGCTTCATGTTGGATTTGTCCAAGTGGTATGGTTTCGGGCCTCAATGACAATGTCAGTCTATTTGTCGCGGCCACATACTGTGGCTACGGCTCTACCGCAGTAGGTGTGTGATCTTTACTGACTGACATTACGATCTTTGAGGCGTCGAAACCAGCATGGTTATACCGCGGTGGGTTTCTGCAGAGTTGCGTCCCTTAGCGATGCCAGGATCCGCAGATCGTCAATTCTCATTTAACGCTTGTCCGGTTATTAACCTTGGTCTATCTGCATCACACCGTAAGCTTCACCCAATCGTCCACAAGCTGAGTTACTTTCAGGATTCCTCCCCATTAAGCTGATACGCCGAAATACATCTTAAGTCAAATACAGTCCTCACTAGTTATAACGCCCCTGGTTATAATGCCACCCTCGTTATAATGCCATGTTTTGTCAGACCGGATCTTGCAGTGCAAGATTCCCTGTTCATAAGGCCAATGCTTTTCAAGACAAATGTTCAAATTTCTTGGTAATAATGTCATTTGCTTTTAAATTTTGACAAACTATTGGCAATGTAGTTAATATTTTGGAGATAATCCCTCTTCTAAATCAACAAACTAATGACATTGATCTCAGTTGTTTTCACAGTTCTCACAGAGAATTATTTACTTTCTTAAAATAAACAAATTCCTTTGATTTTAATATCCTTTTTTATAAGCTTAAACATGTTCGAATTTAATCTTCTCAATGTATATAAAAAAATGTCAATAAGATCTGGTTTCCATCTCCTTGGTTACAATGCCACCCTGGTTATAATGCCACATTTTCCGATGGACGAAAGGTGGCATTATAATAAGGGAGGTGAAAGCCAGATTAACGAATTCACTCACTGATGAAAAATAACATATTTCACTCACATGGACTGTTGCCGTCTGCCACTGTGAACTCGGGCAGACGACAGGTGGGGCACAGTTTCGATCTGGGTTAAGCTGCGCGCACATGGTGGTGTTTCCCGCCAAATCGCCACGGCCCTCGCCCCCCGTACAGCGCCACCTGATGAGGTACTCGTTGTTGCTCTCGGTTGCGCACCGGTAGTAAGCCTCGCATTTCTCCACCCCCGGGTCGTCTGCTCCGGACTGGAAGCAAGGGAGGGCTCGCCTCCAGCACGGTGTACGTGTCCCCGCCGTTTTGAAAGATTGGTTCTGAAATTAACGAACACAGTGTTACCCACATGCTGAATGCATCGTCCGTGTGTCGTTGACGTTAACGGTTGTTGTCACAAAGATATTCAAGATGGTATCTCTGTCACAATAAATTAGAGAAAACTGAAGAAAAAACATTCAAACATAAGGAATGCATTTTTAAATAAACACGACTATTTTTCTGCTAATTTTAATGGTAATAAACTGTCTAGTGGCTGAGCGTCCGCCCTTAGAGCGGAAGGTCCGGTGTTTGATCCCCGGTCGCGTCATATTGAAAGACGTTAAAGATGATACTTGTTGTTACCCTGACTGGCACTCGGCATTCAGGGGCTAAAACAAGGACTGGCTCGACGTAGGGATATATCGATATGTTTATATCGACATCCGAGTTAACGAGTTTGGTGTGTATGTGTGTGTGTGTGTGTGTGTGTGTGTGTGTGTGTGTGTGTGTGTGTATATATATATATATATATTGACCTGTATCAGCGTATTTTATTGCCGATACATTTCAGTACAAACATAAATGAAAATCAATAAATCTTCGTTTTTCACTGTTCGATAATTTTATATCGTTCTCCACATGGATCAATGAATATTTATTTTCACCAGAGCATGCTAACAAACAGCTGTCACAGTTGCAACACAATCGTTGACATTTAAAATATAATATATTTGTTTTCAAAATCGAGCATGATGAAATGGATAATTATTTACTGATATGTATTCCCAAACAATGACCAACCCTTCACATAATGGAAAGGTTGCAAATGGTATGTGCACACTCATCATCAAGGGTGGCACGTGATGAGAATATAACGCAGCAATTGCAGGATTTGTATTTTTTTTAAATATTATAGTGAATAATTTATCACATTAGGGTCATTGGGCTCACAATATATAGATGCATCCCACTGGCCCGACATGTAAGTCACCAACCAACTTCGACTTCAATGAATGTTTTGGTTCTGACAAAACACAAGGGATGGGACAACGGTGCTTCCATCTGTAACTTCAAACTCATAATGTCCATCCATACCACTGCTGCCTTCACACAACAAGAATAGGATCAATCTTTCATTTCATCAGCCAAATTAGCAAAGTGGTCCCAACGTGTAAGGCGACGATGATCGCTGTGAAGAGTTGCGCCCCTTAGGCGTGCCATGATCCTATGTCGTGGGTTCGAATCCCAGATTCGCAAAGATTAAGGTCATTGCTTTGTCAGCACCATACCCGTTCTCGCAAGTTTCGCCCAAGTAGCAAACGTCAAATACCTGCACCCCTTTCCTCCCATATTGATTTCACACGGAGTGATATGACTGAAATACCTTCAAAGTGCGTAAAACACAACAGTAACTCCCTCCCTCTATGAATGTATATAAACCATACGTGTACGATTCTTAATGTGCTTATTCCAAAAACATAGTACCCAAATTTGTTAACGTTGGATACATAATATTCAAATTTGTTAACCTTAAATATTTTTGGGACAAATCAAATGTTGTCCGCTCACTTCCGTGAATAGATAAGTGTTTGGCTTGGTACCACCCCGAGCCTGATGAAGTTGTCGGTCTAAACATTCACTAACGATTTTAGTTGTCAAAAAATGTTTGCTAAGTCTCAAAATTCGAAATACAAATTACGTCAGCAGTGACGCAGACGCCAGTTTGTTGCTACCCAAATTTTAACATTTAGGGTTAGACACGTAAGGCACATGCACATTTAAAAAAAACACTGTCAAGTAATTACGTTATCTAAACACTGTTGTTTGTTAGGCTAGTCGCTCTTGTATATGTACAGGCGGTGTTAAATTCAACAAAGAACACCTGAACAAGAAAGCCTACAATTTGGCGATCCGACCCCTCGAGCAGCCATGCCCAGAGTCAACAGGCCCACATCGAGCACTCCCATCCGGGTACCTGCTTGACCTGGCGTGACCTTATGGTGTGACCTTGTTATTGAAGTCTGGGTCACCTCGGCCAATAAATGGAACCTGCGCAATTAGAAAACCAGGTTCGTTTCTGGAGAAGTTGTAAACGCTTGTCTATTGACCTTACTGATGTCAAACGTTTTGAAGGTCACTGCTAAGGGTGGCGATGCACTCGTCAAGGGTGCTGTGCCGCATGGAATACCTGACTGGATTGTCAAGTGGTACTCGTTTCACTCGTGTACGTTCTGTGACTCTGAGCACGTCAAATGCTCCTTGAATACATCCGGGTTAGCAGACGTTCAACGCTGATACAAGAGCGAGTCTCTCATCAACCGACGTCTCGATTTGAATTTTGAAATAGCTTCTTCAATATCAATGTGGATACAAGAGCGAGTCTCTCATCAACAGAACTGACGTTTCGATTTAAATTTTGAAATAGCGACTATACTTCTTCATGATTTGGAATATCCCCCGAAAGTTAAAACGTACAGTAAATTATTTCTGTCGGCTATGCGCATGGGCATATATGCTAACATTAGGTGTCTATATACAAATACAATGTCCAAACAGTAGCGGTGGGTAGCTCAGTTGTACAGGCGCTTGCTCTTTACGCCAAACAGGTTCTATTCCCCAAATGGATCTCCGTCATATGGCTGGATTATTTCTAAAGCGGCGTACAATACTGCTCACTCACTTTTATAAAAAAAAATGTTTATGATCCTTTCCCATAGCTTTCACCTTCTGCAAAACGCATTCAATAAAATATTGTTGAGTTTGGGCAGCTTATTGATTCATGCGCGTGATCATCACGCCGAAGTCATGAGGTCGATTCCCGAAATGGTTAAAACGTGTGAAGCCCATATCTGCCCCAAACCCCTACCCCACCCAAATCACAACCCGTCTTAAATTTGGCTAAATGCGACGTAAAATCATACTCATTCACTGCCCTAATCCTTTTGTCTTAAAGCCAAGTGTGCAGGGTTCACTAAGCCCACTGTCCCTGATATCGGTCATTGGGTCCAGTAGCGTAAATCTACTGGATTTAGTCATTCTATTTCCTGCTGCGCTAATCCACAACCTAGGGTCTCACCGAAGTATATCCCCATGATACCCGTACAAATACGGTGCCCCCCCCCCCCCCCCCCCCTTCTCCTCTAGTACCCCCAGATGTTGACAGACGTGGTGCCCTGGATTGACCACGGAGGTCAAGTCGCCTAATAGCCTATAGTATTTACTTCGTCAACGGTCTTGCTTCATGTAAATACAATACATCACTATTTGCCATCGTTTCGTCTCATTTATCTTATGCACAGCTGTTTTCACGCTGTTTGTTTGGGCGTGACTTTTATGGCACTATGTGATGACGTTCGAGAGATGCTTGTAACTGTTGCTTTGACACCTGATAGTTTGGCGTTGGGGATGAAGACTTTTAGCACGTGGTGTTGAATTTGATTAGAAGAAAAGAGCCTTTTACAGGGAATGAATTTGGAGATAAACATACTGACGTGTTTTCAATGTAGAGCTAGGTTACCTGTAGATTTAAACGCGCTAAATTGAATTTGGAACCAAACGCACAGCCGGCATTAGACAGGCACTCTCTGTGGTCCCTAAAACTTGAAATACACTCTCTTAGTCGATTTCTGTCGAATTTTCTTCCCAAAATGTATCGCCACACATACTTTAAATATTGTCGTAAAGCATTTAAAATTATGTAACCTATACTTTTAACTGTATGTATTTTTTAAATGCCTACCGATATTGACGGACAAGGAAGCACTTTTCCATAAATATTTTTGCTTCCATTTTGATGTTTTAGTCAGAGATGGTTATTGTGATATGATACGATACATATTCCAATCCATAATCATTGTATGGTGCTGACATTGTTATCTTTGCATTTATTCCATTAAAAGACATGACCCGTGAAGATCCGGGGTAGAAGTGGTCTTCAGCAACCCATGCTTGTCGTAAAAGGCGACTATGCTTGTGGTAAAAGGCGACGAACGGGATCGGGTGGTCAGGCTCGCTGACTTGGTTGATGCATGTCATCGTTTCCCATTTGCGTAGATCGATGCTCATGATATCAATCACTAGATTGTCTGATCCAGACTCGATTATTTACAGACCGCCGTCATATAGCTGGAATATTGCTGAATGCGGCGTTAAACAACAAACAAACAAATTAAAATACATTACCAGTCACGTTAAGAAACGTCAAGGCGTGGAAGCTAAAACGTTCTACCCTATGATGTCATCACCTGAACATCCGGGTCATTACCGTGACCTTTATGACCCCACCAGGTCACGTCGACCATTGTTAATTATTCCATAAACAAGTGCAACGTTGGTGACCAATAGCTGCAGTTTACCTAATTTGAACCCAAACAACGTTGAACACCCAGTCCATGAGTCAGGTAAATTAGTATTCACCTTACGTCATCCCTTCTTGAAGGCAGAGGTCAAAGTTCAGACCGTGCTTGACATAGAGGGTGTTGCCCATGTAGAAGTACCTGATACCCTTGGGAGGAGATTGTAAAGGTGTGCGTGTAGATAGCTCTGGTACCGACAGTCTACGTGCTGGACAAAAACGATAGACACCTTCCAGATTCCAATCATCCTCTAATTATAGAAATAAAGGACCGGCGTTGAATAGTTTCGAGGTTCCATTGGGACTTTTCGGAATACCTATGACTGGAACTTTTACAAATTTCGGAGTACCTATGACTAAAACTTTTACAGATTTCGGAGTATCTTTGACTAGAACTTTCACAAATTTCGGAGTACCTATGACTAGAACATATACACATTTCGGAGTACCTATGACGAGAACTTATAAAAATTTCGGAATATCTATGACGAGAATGTTTACAGATTTCGGAGTATCTTTGACTAGAATGTTTACAAATTTCGGGAGTACTAATGACTAGAACCTTTACAAATTTCGGAGAACCTATGACTTGAACGTTCACAAATTTCGGAGTACCTATGTCGCAGTACCTATGACTAGAACTTTTACAAATTTGGGAAAACCTATAATTAGAACGTTTACAAATTTCGGAGTACCTATGACCCT